AATTCTGTGTGCAAGCAAAAAATTCAAGTTTTGGACTTTGCAAAGAAGTACTAGCTATCAGCAGTGGATTAACAACCTGTGATATGCAGGTGACACAATTTAGCTTGCTGAAAGTGGAGAGGAATAAAAGTGGCTATTGATGAAGATCAAAGAGTGCAGCCATTCCTTATCATTTAGAACCCAATGTATAGAAAACCAAAATACTTACAATTGGAACATTACATAAGATCATGATAAACAGAAAAAAGAGTGAAGTAGCAAAGATCTCATTTTACTTCCCTCAATCAACATTCACGAAGCAGCAATCTAAAAAATAAATGAAGTATTGCCCGGGTAGATCTGCTATACAAAATGTAATGTGTCAAAAAGAAAAGATGTCCAACATATATTTGGAAAGAAGTTGAACCTTAGTGGCATATTGTGTTATGTGTTGGGTTACTAATTGCACGGTCAGTCATTCAAATCCATCAGACTCTCCACAGGACAATGTGGTGGCTTTCTGCTCTTGTAAAGATGTACAACCTCGCAAACCCACAAGAGCAGCTGCATTCTGACCCCTGGGGTCACTCTGAGTTGGTTGAGTTCAGTGGCAGTAATTTTAGTTCTCTTTAAGAGGTAGCTCCTAGATTTTATAAAAGCAGTAAAGACTCAGGATTTGAGCTGGCTTGAAGTCAAAAGGAACCACATTTAGGAAAAGGGCTTTCGCACCGGCGTTCAGTGTCCCTTCAAAAACAATGGGTTTCTATTGTTTTCACAGGTGCTCATTTTACTAAGATTAATAAACCATAGTCATTATAAATATCTTTTGAATCATGATACAAATTAGATTTTATTTTAATTTTTGAATTAAAAAGGTTCCCTCCTACTCCTGTTCTACAGTTCCTCCAATGTACCTCCTACAGGCGAGCCAAATTCATCAGTTTTCTATGTCGCCTTTCAAAAAATATTATTTATGTGTACTGAAATACACACTACTTTTTTTTAACCCAAAAGGTTACCCATTATTTAATACAAACTTTGTGGATAACAAGACTGTTGCACCAAGTCTTTTATTGAAATACATACTAAAAAGAACCAGAATCTCTGAACAAATAGGCAGCTCCTTGTACAACTATTGTGGAAAGTGCGACTGTGCTCCCTGAAACAAGTGGGAATAGACATGCCTTACAACCCAGCAATCGCTCTGCTGGGCCTAGACTCCAAAGAAGCATATGTCCCCATGTTTACTGTGGCACATTCACAGTAGCACCAAGATAGAACAACTATCCAATACCCATCAGGAGAAGAATTGACAGAGAAAATTCAGTACACACACACACAGGAATACTTTGTATCCCTAAGCAACAATAATAAAACCATGAAACACCTCAAGACATAGTGGAAACCATTATGCAAGTGAAGTAAGTCAATCACAAAAGGAAAAATATTGAATTAGTCCACTACTATAAGATAAAGACCAAGACAAAAGTAGGCTTCTGCTCTCAGGTCATGCAATCTCCTAATCTTGTCTCCCAGCAACAAGGTAGTAAGGCTGCCTAGTGTCCATGGACGAGCATTCTCCTCCTCTTTTGTATATCTTCGTAAAAACCACTTTGACAGAGGAAGTCTCACCTCAGCTAGGGTCAGTCTCAAGATGGGGCAAAAGGGAGGAGCGCAATCACTTGCTGCCAGACAACATTGTTCTAAGCTCATCCCAAATCAACAAACACTTCTGCAAGAGTTACTAGCAAACTTCACTGGAAATTTAAGTCAAGAGGTGCTGGGGTGGTAGGTATATGTGTCTTGGAAAAGATAATTACATAAATCAGGAGGAGTGGCCTGCCATTGGGGAAAATAATGTTTAACAATACTTATATTCCTAAGTGAACTCTTTTGACCTCGTTTCTATCCAGTCCTTGTTCACCTAGGCTGTGTTCTACAGACAACTGGGACTTTAGACCCTGTCCTGTTGAGGTGTACATCCTTCAGAGGCCACACCAGGAGGATCCAATCTGGATACCTCATTAAATGAACTGTGCTTTACCTTAAACTCACCTATGGCAGATTTAAGGAACTGATGTGCTCCCTTGGACTTAGAGCTGAAATACCCTAGTGTGACAAGCAGCCAATGACTGCTCTCTCGGGTATTTTGAACTGGTGGTGGCTGGACTCTGGTTCAGAGCGCTTGCTTTAAGGGTGCCCAATGAATGGTCGCTCAGGACTACCGTGTATTTACTATTTTCATGGTTTCGTTGCTTTTATATTGCGTGTACTAGAGAGTAGGCATTGTGCTGCCTTTGTGAGTATTATTGAAAGTTTAGCGCTATCACTAACCCTTATTGTTTGTGTAAGTAGTGTCCAGCCACTTAAGCTTTTACTCTGGAGAAGTCAACAATTCATGTATTACAGTCTGAAAAGCTGACCTATGCATATATAATTTCCTTTTCTCAACAGTGTTTTAAATTCTATACCATTGGCAAAATTAATGATATCATCAATAGAATTATCTTATGTCCCCCTGGGAAGACTATCATGTTTGCTATTATAAAATAATTACAATGTCTCTAAGGTGAACCAGAGTTATATATAAAGCATGGAGATATATATAGATTTGGGGTTTACACTTAAGTCATAGCCTTAATCTAAGAACAGTTTGTTCTTATGACATGGCTTTCTTCAATATTTGTCCTTATGACAGGGATCACTGAAGATGTGCATGCAAAGGGTGGTGAAGAAATCCGAAGGTGCCTGGCTATCAGAAAGAATAGCGTTTATAGTCTTCTAGACTTACCTTCACACAAATAACCTTCTAAATGAGGCATCAACTAAGTCCACATGACAGAAGCACACCAACTTGTGTGATCCAAGGATTGTAAATTTAAAAAATCAAATCTTGAGAAAGAAATGGTATCAGTGTTTAAATTGTGAACACCCACTTTGCCAAAGACTATGCATGACAGTAAAACCCCAAAATCCATTTGCATGGTCCTCACCTCTAACATGGAAAAATCTATCGTGAAAGAGGTAGCGAGGTTAAAGTGCAACACCTTCTCATTTGACCTCACTTTTGACCCATTTTAAAGTTGTTTCAGTTTCAATATTTGCTGCATTCTTTACACTGAAGTTTGTCTGTTTCATTTTGTTGTTGTTTTGTTCAGCTTTCTTGTATGATTTTCTGTTTATGAAATCCAGGATAGATAAATCTATGGAAGCAGTAACTGAATTGTGACTACCTAGGGGCATGGGGGGGCGGGCGGAGGCTGAAGGGAAATGGGGAGCTAACAACAATGAGGATAAGAAAGAAGAAACTGTTCTGAAATTGTGGTGATGATTTCACAACTCCTCTGAAAATGATTGAACTATTAAATTGGATGAAAAGGAAAGCAGCTCTTGAGCTCAGATTTTTACATCAGAAATCATTTGTGGTAGCAATTGTACGCCCCCAGGAGCTATGGACAAAGGGCAACATCACCACAGAAGTAGTGCTACCTCTCCGGAATGTCTGAAGTAATGCGTACTTAGATGTGGTGACCATTTTCCCTAGCTATCTGTTCTTAAACAGGGGAGTGTAAAAATAACCAAGTGTTAACTCAAGTAGCTCTCTTCACTTTTTGAAGGCACATTAGCACATTTTCTACTAGAATTGTAAAATGCGCTAGAAGGAATTCTGATACAAGACAACACTGTGAGAAGCCCGGCTGTGGAGGAACCCTTTCTCAACCCCCTATTCCAATCAAGTCGTGGTTCTCAGGCAGTGAGTCCGGTGCTAGGCTGACTGCTAAGCAATATGGAGCTCTAGACGCCGTCCCCAGAGTTCCTGAGCGCTTACCTGTCCTCTGAATCGTCTCAGGCTCCACCTTCCCTAGAAGATAAATAACACGCTAAGAATTCATTTAAGGAAACTCAGAGCCTGTTTGTGACTCTGTATACTTAAAAGTTCCTGTATTTTAAGCCCAGCACAAAGTGAGAGAAGCATATAATCTATTTAGAAAAGTAATATATATATAATTTTTATGTACAAATGAATACTTAGTCTTCTTTTCCTCCATTTGAAAATTTTATTTTCTAAAGCATGTTTGTGCACACACACACGCACACACACACGCAAAACACAATATTCTCAGTAACAAATAGTAGCAAAGTACACAGTATTAGATGAACATAGGACAAATTGCACAAAATTTGTATTAAATTATCTAATTCTTGTATTTCAGATCACCTAATTTTCATTAACTCCTAGAATTTTTTTCAGATTATAGAAAACATACTGAAAGCCATGAACAGCAAATCAACTTGTTTTTATTGTATTAAAAGTAGAAGAAGAAAAAGAGTACTGCATATCTGGGAATGAGGTCCATTGGATACATTTCAAAGACCCACGAGACCCCAGAAATTTTACGCAGTTATTTGCATGAGTATGAATATATCTCAGGGGAGGAATCTAGAGCGTTAATTCAATCCTTAAAGAGTTTTGGGACCCCCAAAATTGAAAATTCTGTTTTTCATATTTCAAATGCATTTTTATTTTCACAAAGAAATTTAAACTACTTATTGGATTCCAAATAATCCATACATACTTGCTTTCTTTCAACTGTCCTCTGAATCCTACTCATGCTCCGGCTTCTTTAGAAAATGTGTGTCATGGGAAGATCTCCTTTAAGGGAATTCAGAAGGTGGGTTACATGGCTGCCTGAGACTATTCAAATTCTGCAGGTCTCAGCATGGAAGTTTTATGCACATGTTTTAAAAGTTCTGGTGGCAGAGATTAGCTGGTGATCATTTTCTGAGTTTCTCCTTTTCATTTTGTCTCTATTGCTCATCCGTTTGAATTATTTCCTATTAGTACTCAGTTGCTTTTCATTTCTGGGAGAAATGGGGGAAAATTTCCCTGGAACAATATAACTGAATTTTGCCAACTTGCATTTTGTTAACCTTGCAAGTCTTTTACTTTGTGTTTTATTTATAATGTGGTAGCAACATTATTGATGTTACATATTTTTATGTCCTCTCTTTTCCTTTAGGTGTGTGTGCAACATTGACTGCTCTCAAACCAACTTCAATCCCCTCTGTGCTTCTGATGGGAAATCTTATGATAATGCATGTCAAATCAAAGAAGTGTCATGTCAGAAACAGGAGAAAATTGAAGTCATGTCTTTGGGTCGATGTCAAGGTAATGTTTGTACCAAAATTCACTTCAAAGAATGTTTTTAGTCTTCATACAGAAATGAAAAGTGAAAATGACTCCTTATTAGGCAGCTATTTCATTTCTGAAAGACAGTTCGGGTTTTTGTGAAAAATTCGAGTCTACTAGAGCATTCGTGTTGCTTATATAGGAGCTTCAGCACCAGTTCATATATATTTTTTCTGTATGTTTGGTTTCGGACATCACAATGCCATGAACAGAGAAGGCAACATTCAACGGACAGAAGACATTATCCTTGCAGAGGAAAAAAGAAAATTGAAATAATTTTTAGCAAAGAATATCAGTATTTACTGTACAACATTGAAATGAAAAACAAATCACTTTATTTCATGTTTTAAAATATTTCAAGTTCATGTTTGAACTTGACACATCAAAAGAAAGATGTGTTAGAACATTTTATTTCATTTTTTTGCTCAGAAAAAAAAACCACGTGTATTTCGAGTTAATTCTTTTAAATCATTTACCTCAGTTATAATTGCGACCTTTCTCCTTATCCCACATTTTAGCAAGCACTGGTATTTTCCTTCAGCTGGAAATAAAAAATGCAAGTCTGTCCGTGTATAAAGATCGGGTGGAACTGTGGCTGTACAAATTCCATAATTGCTTTGAACATACTGTTGCAGGTAGAATGCAGCTCACTCTCTAGAAACCAGCTAACCAATCTTCATTGCTAGTGTCATGTTTTAACACAGATAACACAACTACGACCACTAAATCGGAAGATGGGCATTATGCAAGAACAGATTATGCAGGTACGTAATATTTTCAACTAAAAACCATGAATACTTCTATAAAGCAGTCCTGAAGAACCATTGTCTTACAACTGATTCCAAATTGAATCTTGCAAGATTTCTGACATGCTAATATTTTCTTGCTTATTTCAAGAGAATTTTTATTGAAGAGTTAATTTCGGTTGAAGCAAATAAGACAACTTTTGCCAGAGTTAAAGCAATTGTCAAAAATGTCAGTAAGATATAATTAACTTGTTTTGACAGTGCAAATGGTATAAATGACAAAACATTTATCAAATTAATGAGCATCAGTGGAAATTAATGCAGTTTTTGGCAGTGTATTGTAATAAATGCAAATGTTCTCGTTTGAATTTTATAAAAATCAACAATAATAAATTGTGTTAGTCACTGAAAAGTGAGAAAGGACACCTATAAATAATAATAAGATTACTTCTATTTTAATACAACACCCAAAAGGTATAGGCAATCTATATTGAAAAAAATAAACTCTTAATTTAGAAACTGAACATCCATTCTAAGATATGAAAATTTATAAAGCATTTTATGTGAAATAAAATCATTCATTTAGATGCAATGGAATTTTACTTGAGGACTCTCTTCGTGTAATATAATTTTCCTAGTTTGAAAACATCATGTTTTATGAAATTTAAGGTTAAATCAATAATAAAATTACTAGCTTGTAGATTAATATTACATGACATATTTTTACCTGTTTTTAACAAAGTTCTCAATGCTTTATAATTAAATGTTTTACAATTAATGTTTTATTATTAAATTTATGTTCAATGTGCAATGAAATAGAATTGCATATCTTTCAATAGATGTACTACTTATATGCACTATTATTCAATCTGTTTCTGAAGTTTAACTTTAATGAATTTGATCAGAAGTTAACTTATAGATCAGAATTTTTAATACACATCTCAAATCTCTCAAATTTGGAAATGGCAAAAGGATTATTTTTATTTTCTGTCATTTGAATGACATATACATAAAATTTTTACCCACTAGAAGTCTAGAATACAATGATACATAGTGAAATTCCAACTCATAACAATGATACATATGAACAACAGAACAAAGCACTGTCCAGTCCCGGGCCATCCTTACAACAGTTGCTATGTTTGAATCTATTGTTACACCAGTGAGTCAATTCATCTTTTTGAAAGGTCTTCCTCTTTCACCCTCTACTTTGCCAAGCATGATGCCCTTCTCCGGGGACGAGACCTTTCTGGTAGCATGTACAAAATGAGTGAGATTCACTTTTAAGGAGCGTTCTGGTTGTACTCCTTCAGAGATAGATAATTGTTCACCCAATTGGTAGTCCATAGGATATTCTTTGCCAATAGCATAATTTGAATACATCTATTGTTACTTTTTGTCTTTCTTATTCATCGTCCAGCTTTCACTTGCACATGAGGCAATTGGCAATACCATGGCATGAATCAGGCCGACCTCAACCCTCAAAGTGATCTCTTTGCTTGTTAACACTCCAAAGATTTCTTTTACTTCAGATTTTCCAGTGCAGGATTGCAGCATCAGGAATGGAAGAAGGTGTATTAACCACCTAGCACATGCAGATGACACAGCCTAGCTTGCTAAAAGTGAGAACTTGGAGCACTTGCTGACGAAGATCAAAGATTGCAGCCTTCAATATGGATTACAACGTAACGTAAAGAAATGCAAAATCCTTACAAATGGACCAATAGGTAACATCCTGATAAATGGCGAAAAGATTGAAGTTTTCAGGATTTCACCTTGCATGAGCTGACAATCAATCCTTGTGGGAACAGTAGTCGAGATTAAACAAGGCATTGCATTGGGTAAGTCTGGTGCGCAAGACCTCTTTAAAGGATTGGAAAGCACGGATGTCACTTTGAAACCTAAGGGGAGCCTGAGTCAAGCCAGGGTAATTTCAATCACCTCATATGCATGTGGAATGGGAACATTGAATAAGGAAGACTGGAGAAAAATTGATACATTTGATTATGGTGCTGACTAAAGAACTGGACTGCCCAAAGATTGGACACATCTGTTTGGAAGAAGTACAGCTACACTGCTACTCAGAGGCAAGGCTGGGGAGACTTCATCTCCCATACGATGCGCACGTCATCAGGAGAGACCAGGGCCTGGAAAAAGACCTCATGCTTGGGTAAATAGAGGGACAGCAGACATGTAGAAGATGCTTTAAGAGATGAATGGATACAGTGCCTGCAATAACGGTCTCAAATCAAACAACGGTGAGGATGGCGTAGCAATGGGAAATGTTTCCTTTTGTTGTACACGGTCGCTCTCAGTCGGAACTGACAACATGGCACCTACCCACAGCTAACGACAATTGATACCTTTGTCTTATGCTGTTGGTGAAGAATATTAAACCTGCCAACGCCTCCAGAAGAAAGAATAATCTGTATGGATGAAGTACAGCCAGAATACACCTTAAGGGCAAGAATGGCAAGACGTTGTGGTGTGTTCTTTGGGTATATTATCAGGAAGGATGCGTTCCTGGATAAGGACATCATGCTGGATAAAGAGAGGAAGATTAAGAAAATGGAGTGACAAAGTAACAATGAGTTTAAGAGTAGCAAAGATTGTGAATATGGTGCGGGATTGGACAATGTTTTGTTTCCACAATCAAGGTTGTATCATCTGCATACTGAAGGTTGTTAATGAGCTTTCTCCAATCCTGACGCCTCATTCTTCCTCATATAATCGAACTTCTTGAATAATAAGCAAATAATCCAAGAAGTTAGATTATATGGAGAAGAACTTGGTATCATTGGAGGAAGGGTTAGTAACAACCTCAGATATGCAGATGATACAACCTTGCTTGCTGAGAGTGAAGAAGACTTCAAGCACTTGCTGATGTAGATAAAAAAAATGGCAGCCTTCAATATGGATTATGACTTAATGTTAAGAAAACCAAAATCTTCACAACTGAACCAATAGGTGACATCATGATAAATGGAGCAAAATTTGAATTTCTGAAGGATTTGGTCTTGCTCAGATCCACACTCAATACTCATAGAGGCAGCAGTTTAAGAGATCAAATGATGAGTTGCATTAAGTAAATTTGCAGCACAAAACCCCTTTAGAGTACTGACAAGCAAAACTGTTACTTTGAACTAAGATGCACTTGACCCAAGCTTTTCAATAGCTTCCTAGCCATGTGAACATTGGACATTAAATAAGAAAGACCAAAGAAGAATTGATACATTTGAAGGGTAGTGCTGGAGAAGAATATTGAAAATACCATGGACTGCTCAAAGGACAAACCAATCCATCTTGGAAGAAGGGCAGCCAGGGTGCTCCTTAGGGACTAGGATAGCAAGGCTTTGCCTTGGATACTTGGGACATGCTGTCAGGAGATACCAGTTCCTGGAAAAGGACATCGTGCTTGGTAACGTGGAGGGGCATCACGGAAGAGGAAGACCCTCAATGAGATGGGTTGACACAGTGGCTGCCACATGGGCTCAGGCCGAGGCATGCGTGATTGTAAGGATGATGCAGGACCCGGCAGTGTTTGGTCTGTTGGGCATAGGGTTCTTATGGGTTGGAATGCACTCGATGGCACCGAGCCACAGCAACAACAGCCATTCAGTTGGTCTGATGGATGTCTTTCCAATGTCTCGGCATAGACAAGGCAGCCCTTCCAGCATTGCGTCCACTTGTTGCGACATTTCGGCTGGTATTCACTCCAGTGTGAGAACCTTGTTTTCATTCTGCCTTCAGTGGAACTTGGACTTCTTTCAATACCATTGGTTCTTCCTTACATACTACTTCCTAAATGGTTAAATGTTGATTTTTCTTTTTTTTTGCTACAGTGACTCTATGTATCTCTACCATCTTCACTTGATGCTTTCTGCATCATTCCGTACTTTACCCATAGAATTTTTTAATATTCCAAATCAAATAATACTGAATTCTTTCTCTAATTCTTTCAGCTTGAGAAATGCTGAGTATAATCGTCCCTTCTGGTTTCCAAACGACAACTCATTACCCATTTCCTGAGTGTTCTTACTTGCCTTCCTGAGGTGACCTCTGAGATACTCCGTTTGGCTTTTACTTCATCATTGATTTTAGCTCTTTTGAGTCCCAGTGAAAATTTCAGTTATTTTGACATCCATTTTGGGATTCCCCCCTTTTTCCTGTTTTAATGACCTTTTACTTTCTTCATGTATCATGTTCTTCATGTCATATCCCCACACTCATCTGTCTTCAGTCACTAGTGTTCAAAGTCTCAAATCTATTCTTGATCTGGTCTCTAATTTCATATGATATATACTCAAGCTTTAGCACGCAGACATATTTTTTATTTTCTGTAGCACTATCTTGAACTTGCATGTGAGCAGTCTATAGTCTGTTCTGTAGTCAGGCCCTGATCTAGCTCCAGCTGGGCAGCTTCTCCCTTGTCTGTGATCTCAGATGTAGTTGATTTGATTCCTGTGTATGCCCTCCAGAGAGATACATGCATACAGCAAGTGCCATTTATGTTCTTGAAAGTGGTATTTGCAATGAGTAAGTCATCGACCGTGCAGTATACTATCATGTAAACGTTGGCATCATTTCTGTCACCAAGGCCATATGTTAAAGCTATCCTTGCTTTCTGTTTATAACTTCCACATTCCAATATAATTATTAATGCATCTTAAGAGCATGTTTGGTGAGTTATGGACTATACCAGTTGTTAAAAATCCTCAACTTCATTTTCCTTGGCATTAGTTGCTGGTGCATAAATTTGAAAACTAGTCTCATTAATTGATCTTCCGTGCAGGTGTGTGGATGTGATCCCATTAGTGGCAGCATTGTACTTGATGATAGACTTTGAAGCGCTCCGTTCTCTTTCCTTGTGTAACTTCCGGCAGAGTTCCCTTCCAATCTTTATCTGTCCCGTTTCATTGTTGATGACTTTCAGTTTTTCCTAGTTTCATCCATTGTGCATTCTACATTTCAGTGGCTAAGGGGTGTTTCCCACTTTCTCCCCTCATGTTGAGTCCTGC